AGGCCTCAGAATTTGGGAAGGCACGCCGATCTCAGTGAACGAATGTGAGATTTAATCTCAAACACCATGGTGCGGATTTGACAACAATGGAATTCAGTATGTTTTTAATGAAGGATTGCAACATGCTGGGCCTTGCGCCAAGGCCTGGCATGGTTACTGATGCTGGCGTGAGGTTGAAAGAAGGGAACGAGGATCGAGGAAGCAGAGAGACACACTGACTCCTTCCTCTGCCGTAAACACAAGTTCCACCAAGTTAACCGCCAGGTACTTAGTGTCTCTCAGTATCCTATTTAAACCCGGCAGAGATGTTTTCTCAGTTTCAGTTAAAAAAGAAAAACCCTATGGGAGCTGGAGCGATAGCATTGCAGATAAGGCGTTTGCCTTGCACACAGCCGACCTGGGTTCGATTCCCACCACCCCATATGGTCCCCCGAGCACCGCCAGTGGTAATTCCTGAGTGCATGAGCCAGGAGTAACCCCTGTGCATTGCCGGGTGTGACCCAAAAAGCAAAAACAAAAACAAAAACAAAACAAAAAAAAACCCCACCAACCCCCCCCCCCAAAAAAAACCCCTATATTAAAGGCACTACTATTCCTACATGAGATGATTACATACGAAGAAAGCAAAGGAAATTTTATGGAAAAAAAACTGGAAGTAGTGAAATTTGACATGGTTTCTAGAAAGCCAAGAAAAATATTAGTAAAAAAATAAGAAAGTTATTAGTTCATCACTAAATATCAGCAACGAAGTTTGAAGATTCAAATTTTGCATTTACAATCTTTATGAGTGGTGAGCTACATAAAGATAACTTAGAAGAAATTATGATTAATCGAAAGAATTAAGAAACACTACAGAGAACAAAGTCTCCAGTGGAGACGTTACTGGGCCCGCTCGAGCAAATCGATGAACAACGGGAGGACAGTGACAGTGACAGAGAACTGAGAAAATGGAGAGTTACATTGGTTGGTCACGGAAAAGGTGCTAGCACTCATAAAAATTGATCTGCCAGCTAAACTGAAATGCTAACTAAAATTCCTCATGAAACCGCAATCCAGGCTCTCTCATTCGGGGCACCCTAGAAGGGGGGGAGGGTGAGACCACCCTCCCCGCCCCAAGGGACCCAGCCCCGGCAGCCAAAAACCTCCAGAACTCAACCGCCGCCAGGCTCACGGCCGCTCTCCCCACACTCGGGCTGAGCCTCACCCACAAATGAACGTTTTCCTGGATGGCTCATACCTCACACCACCCATACTCCAGGAGTATTATACCACATTGGATGGGGTTCAAAGTAGGAGGCCTGGAGTTCGTGCCCAATTCAAAAAGCTTAATCAATGGCTGAATAAATAGCAGTACCCCTACATTATTTCAAAAACAAACAAACAAACAAACAAACAAACAAAATAGGGGGCAGCCAATCTTAGAGGGAAATATTTTTTTACGGAATATATATATATATATATATAATATATATATATATATATATGCATACAAGTCTCAACCTTTAACAACATGTTAGTGATCTCTTATAGAACTGCTTAATAGCCCCTGGGTAAAATATAACAATCTTCACACTCTTTCCTCTTAGGACACTTTTTTGGTAGTATTTTCAGCGGTTTTTCATAACTAACAACACAAAATATATTATTTCGGTTCTGCTTTGGGGCAGGGATTGGGGTTTGAAACAGAAACATCCAAAATATGGTGGTGGGAAGGTGTCATGGTGGTGGGATTGGGGTTGGAATATTAAATGTCATCAAATATTGTGAACTACTTTATAAAATAAAAAAAGAATTAAAAAAATAAATGGCAATACACAGCTACAAAAAAATCCAAGGTAACTATCAAAATTGGAAGCAAAGTTGATGGATTTTGTACAAGATCATCCAGTAGCTAAAACAACAAATAATACAGTCCAAATTTTTTTTTTCTAAGAAAGTAAGCCATGGAGCCCAGTGGAATGACTTCAATACTGGACTAGCCTCTACCTCAAGACTCACTGAACCATTTTCTTGGGCACACTTCACTTATTCTGAAGACTTCTTAGCTTTAGCTTTCAGAGATCAGCTGGGAGAAAAATTAAATTATGATTAAATCTTGCTGAAAGGATGAATAGAGTACCTTAAGATGTCCAGAGCTCACATGTTAGTTTTTGAGATTCAGAAAAAATTTCACCAACCTGGTGGGAAGGTGTAATAGTGGTGGGATTGGTGTTGGAATATTAAATGTAATAAATTAGTGTGAACAATTAAAAAATTAATTTAGTTTAATTTAAAAAATAAAAAAGACATTTGTTTTTCATTTTGACAGTTTTTCCACTTTTTCTGCAATTATGAATTAAATTCAATAAACAGTTAATTCACATAAATTTTTTATTTAGAAATCTCACCATTCCCGGGGCTGGAGCAATAGCACAGCGGGTAGGGCATTTGCCTTGCACACAGCCGACCCAGGTTCGATTCCCAGCATCCCATATGGTCCCCTGAGCACCGCCAGGAGTGATTCCTGAGTGCAAGGCCAGGAGTAACCTCTGAGCATCGCCGGGTGTGACCCAAAAACCAAAAAGCAAAAAAAAAAAAAAAAAAAAAAAAGAAATCTCACCATTCCCTATGATAATTGGAAGAAACCATTTTCACTTAGAAAGAATTCATAGCTGCTAAGTTTTATCACTCCAGAGAGAATTTTGAATTGCCTTTACTCTCTAAGATGGTAGTTCACTGTGATTGGTTTGATTTTTATATAATACAAGTAAATACAATTTCCTTGTATTCTGTGTAGCCTTCAAGAATTTTGAGAATTCTCAGTGTAGTCCTAATCCTGAAAATTTGCCTATGTAAATTATGTCTCTCTTGTTTAAAAGAGTTAACAATCAATGTAATCTTCAGTGTTGAGAGGGCTAATCAGTGTCTTAAAATAAATTAACCATTGACACGTGTTCTAAAAAAAAAACCCTCTTTTTACCAATCTTAAATGAAGCCCTGTCTAGCTTCCTTAAGCAAACATATGCTTGTTTACATGCGACAGAGGGGGTATGATAAAAGAGAATTTATTCAATCTGCATATGCCCCCAAAATTACAAACAAAGAACATTTAAGAGTAACAGAAGCCATTTAAACAATTTTTTTTTGTTTTTGTTTGGGAATGACCAACACCTGACAGTGCTGGCCTTCCTGGCTCTGTGCTCAGGGATCACTCCTGGAGATGCTCAGGGGACCGTATGTGGTGGTGGGATTCAATTTTCTTTTTCTTTTTGGGTCACACTGGAGATGCTCAGGGATTACTCCTGGCGGTGCTCAGGGGACTATATGGGATGCTGGGGATTGAACCCCGGTTGGCCGCGTGCAAGGCAGATGCCCTCCCTGCTGTGCTATCGCTCCAGCCACAGGGGTTCAATTTTTCAATGACAACTTTCAAGATTACCTTTTATTTATGAAGTGATTTATCTAAAGTTTTTTTAACCTTTGAGTAATTACACCAATTAAATGAGTTTAATAAACAAATATTATCTCTTTCATGAGGATATTTTTCACAGTGACTTTTTATTAAAAGCAAAAAAATTATAGTATACATTTGAATTAATTGTATGAAGCTTGCACACACAATTATTTTGCTATAAAAGATTAAAAAACCTGTTTGAGGGGCCAGAGAAATAGAACAGTGGCCAGCAAGCTTGCCAGGCATCTTGCCAAACCAGAGCTGATCTCTGGCACCACATATGGTCCCAAGCTCGGAGTGATATCTGAGTGCAGAACCAGGAGTGACCCCTGAGTGCAGAGCCCTGAACACCACCAGGTGTGGCCCCAAAACAAACACAAAAAAATGCAAACAAACAAACAAACCCCGAAAAAGCCGAACCGAGTTTAAATCTGAAAAGGAAGACATAATAAATAACTACAGCAATTTACCAGAAAAATAACTCATACTGGAATGTTTTTATTCCATAATGACTGCTGTTTTTTTATTTCTTTAAAAATACTCTGAAGAACTTATTTTCACAAACAAGATAAAGTAACGACTTCACTAAACAATGACCTCACTAAGTGATGACTCAATACTGTATGTGATCGGCTTTCAATACAGAACCAAAATTACCTATAAACACTATAAAGTGTTTTAAGACAAGAATCAAAGTGTAGCGTTACTTTACGTTTTGCATACAGTGAACTCAAGAAAGTTTTGAGAATATTTTGTCTTAGGTTAGGGGGGGATATAACTCTATAGATGTTACAGTAGTGAGAAAATATCAGAGCAGAGAAAAGGTTTTGCCCAAAAGAGCAAATTATAGTCTGGAGAAGGAGTTCTAGAATTAACACAACCACTCATTTTAAAATTAATTAATTAAATAAAGGTTTGGACAAACAAATTCTTATGACACAGTTTAGATAAAGATATTTTTTTCCAATGGGCACTGGTGGATGGATGGGTATTTGAACATTGTATAATTGAAACCGAAAAATACAAAACATTTAAAAAATTAAAAAAAGATATTTTTTTCCCACTGACAAAACAATTAGGTGCATTTTGAATTTTCCTTCAATAAGATAAACAAAACTATTCACATGAGACCCCCTTAGTTTCTTGTACGTTTGATAATTTTAATTTTTTTCATCAAATTTTACTAAGATGCTTTCTGTTAATGGTGTATTATTTTTATATTATGGGAAATCAATAAATGTGACTTCGATTTGTAAAAAGAAAAACCACAGGTGACCTTGAAGTTCGAGAAATAATCTGCAAAGTCCCTTTGATTATTTCCTACGCGGTAGGCTAGAGACTGTTCTAATTGAATAGAAGTCAAGCCAACGACGAAAAAATACTGTATTAAAAAGGAGTGTCCTGAGAACTCTTGGATCGACAGAATCTTGGACTCATGCGCTGAGTGTGAAGGGCCCCCACCCCACCCCTCAGTAAGGCTGAAGGAAGCCCAAGCGAAGAACATGGGAATGAAGGAACATCAGGTGCCTTTCTAATTCCCAGGCGGCCTGCGAACAGCAAGACTTACACGGGGCTTGGGAGAAGGCGGCTTCGGCAGGTCTCTCTCCACATCTTCTGCCTGAAGACTAGGCAGGGAGTTCCTGCAGCTGGCCTCCTATGAGAGAAACACACAAGAAACTTAAAGACTAAAGAAGAGGATTCTAACTAGATATGATAATGGAGTGAAGGCTGAGCTGTAAGGAAAACCAGGTACTTCTGGGTTGGGGTGCTGTTGCTTTTCCCCCTTCTTTCTTTTGGGACTGTTAACAGGAAAATACTGAGTGGGTGAATCATCTGACTTCACACTGGAGTTTTCCTTTTCCAACCCAATACTGGGGTAGGACACTTCCCAGTGCTCTGGCTTGCAGGGGTTCTCTTTCTTCCTATCCAAGTCCTTTTTTTTATTTTTTATTTTATTTATTTATTTATTTATTTATTTATTTATTTTGTGCTATGCACAGGGGTTACTCCTGGCTCATGCACTCAGGAATTTCTCCTGGTGGTGCTTGGGGGACCATATGGGATGCTGGGAATCAAACCCGGGTCGGCCTTATGCAAGGAAAACACCCTACCCGCTGTGCTATCGCTCCAGCTTCTTAAAGTCCTTTTTTTAAATGAAAACATATTGCCTGGCATTTGTTATGGTTTCCAATTTCCAGGTGGAAAATTGACATTAAAAAAAAAAAAACGGGAATCGGAGCTGGAGAGAGAGGCCAGCAGACGGGCCTTGCACACAACCAAGCCAGGTTCAATCCCCAGCATTCCATAGGATCTCCCAAGTCTCCCCATGAGTGACCCCTGAGCACAGGAGTAATTTCTGCATACCAGGTACATTCCAAAAACAAAGAAAAAACCCACTGGGAACTGTATTTTTAAAAACAAGATGGTAATTCAGCTCTTCTTCCCTGCATTTCCATGGTAAACTATTCATCAAAGTTTAAGACATAAATGAAACTCAATAATGACCAGGGGATTCACCTGAATGGTGCTATCAACAATAAACTCAACTGTGAGGAATCAGGACAAAAGTCCTAAGGAGGGCCATTCACTGTTCTGTTGAGACAGTACCGAAACTCCCAGTCTGAGTGAGTAATATTAAGTAAGAAAATAGAACTGCGAACTATTGCCATGTTGACCAGGCATTTTTGGATTGAAGTTGCTTAGTAAAGAAGTAAGACTATAACAAGATGACTGACATGTCCTTATTTGCCAACTAACAACATGAAGGAAGATAAGAAGGCTATGCGGTAGGTGTAGATAATTGTCAGAAACCAGGAAACATCCCATCAACAGGACTATATTACTTAGAACCATACAAGCAGCATGTTCCTATGCTGGAAAATCGAACATTTAATTCTCCAAGATAACATCAACCAAAGAGAGTTATCAATTTCCCTCCACCCTAACATTTTACAAAATATTTTTCAAATGTATTCTGACTCTACAAATATTCCGTCATCTGAAATATTCCGTCATGCTTCAGATAGTTTGGCAAACCACTACTACACAGTGATCATTTCATACTAACGCCCTAAGTACTCACTTCAAACATTCTTAGACTTTTAGCCCTAAATTCTCTCTAAAATAGTACTTGAGAAGTAGTTATGCGCACAGCCATATGTGGCCCCATAACCAAAAATAAGAAAAATAAGAAAAAACTGTACTTGCAAAAGTAATAGCAGAAATGACAGAGGCAATATACAAAGAAATTGATAAACTTAATTACTTATGCAGGATAAACAAAAATAATAAGAAATTTGTTTTTAAAAAAATTAATTCTTAGTAGTCATTAACTTGGAAACGTTTCATTGGGGATAAATAGACATATTTCTGTTTCCAAACTGAGAGAGAAAAAGATAAAGGTTACAGACAACAAAGCTAATAAATAAAATTAAAAAAAACTGGTCCATAATCTTTATTCTTGCATCTCATAGCTTCACCCATCAATCCTACCACTCATATTCTCTACCCTATCAACTGGTTCACTTTAGAGCTAATAAATTATAAAATTCAAACACAAGGGGGCTGGAGTGATAGCACAGCGGGTAGGGCGTTTGCACGCGGCCGACCCGAGTTCAATTCCCAGCATCCCATAGGGTCCCCTGAGCACCGCCAGGAGTAATTCCTGAGTGCAGAGCCGGGAGTAACCCCTGTGCATCGCCAGGTGTGACCCAAAAAGAAAAAAAAATTCAAACACAAGTTTATTCTACAATATTACTAAATATGTTGTACTTTTAATCCTTAAGAGGAAGGCACAGTAATAGACTAAAATATCCCTAGAGAAAATAACCTTCAGTAACTAGTCCCTGAAATTTAGGGTATCAGATACTGATAAGCATTTATCCCCGATGAACAATGGGAGGACAGTGCTACAGTGCCACAGTGCCTGTCTGCCAGCCTTCAGAGATGGCAGTTATGACAGCCGTTCCTCTTCCAAGGACAACATAACCATATGCCAGAGAAGTGGAGTAATTGTCCAAGGTCGCACAGACCTCACAGATGGCTCTGCGTTAACCACACACCCTGAGTGCTCACCACCACGGGTGTACTACTTCTCATTTCACAAGAGCAATTCCTTAACCTGTAAAGCCACAGTATTTTAAAGCCTTTCCAAAGAGGTATCTTCCAGCTCTACCAGAGGAGAGTCGGCTGAGGGAGGGAGCCCTGAGTTTCAAGACCAGAGAGATGCTGGGATTGGGACCCACGCCCAGTTCCAAGACAGTTCAAGCATCTGTTCTCAGCTCTCTGGACAGTCCAGATTCAGAGGGGATCAAAGGTGTTTTCTGAGCTGCAGTGCAGCCAATACTCTCGGCTTCCTGTGGGTTCAGGTACAGCATTAAGCTCACATAAGGAGCTCAGTGGGTATTTCTGAGGTTCCCAGAGAAGCGTGTTCTGGGCCTCGCCTTCTCACCAGTTCCAGTACCTGCTTACAGGAAAAGTGAATGAACCATCCCTGCTTCTGACTCACCGGGAGCTGGACGAACTTGATCCATGACGTGGAGATGGTCCAAGTGCTTAACGGCATAAGCCACTGCCCAGCTGAACTACTTGGAGAATATAATTATCCCTAATCCGAAGACCCCTTTTAAGCTACCAGTCTATAAAAGCTCCTGTGTGATGAAAAGGGACCAAGCTGACTCCTGAGAGAAGTTAACAGGAATAGCTGACCTTAGTTTGCGACTGTTTACAAATGCCTGTAATTCTTCCTTCCTTAGACACAAACTAAAAGAGGCCTGATTTCTTCATTACTCTGCCTTTTCATTTTCCCTCTCTGAACTGGGGACTAGCAAGCACAGTCTGATAAGTATGTATTTCCCTGCAATACTCTGAAATCATTTCCCACAAACTTTTATCTGAAAATGCCACACACAACCATTACATTCTTTCTTCTTTTTGCTCATTTATTTATTTATTTATTTATTTTATTAGTGAGACACAATGAGGTACAGTTGTAGATTTACAAATTTTGTGCTTGGGTTTCAATTATACAATGATCAAATACCCATCCCTCCACCAGTGCCCATTTCCCACTACCACAGATCCCAGTATCCCTCTCACCCCCCATCCTCCCCAACCCACTCTGCCTCTGTGACAGGGCATTCCCCTTTGTTCTCTCTCTCATTTGGGTGTTGTGGTTTGCAAAAGAGGCATTGACTGGCAATCATGTTCGGTCTAATAGTCCACTTTCAGCATGTTTCTCCCATCCTGGGAGGATCCTCCCAACACCCTTTATTTGGTGCTCCCTTCTCTATCTGAGCTCCCTTTACCCCTAGCATGTGTGGTTGGCCTCCAAGCCATGGAGCAAACCTCCTGGTACTAATCTCGGCCATTCTTGGGTGTTAGTCTCCTATTTTGTTACTTTATGTTCCCCAGATGAATGCAATCTTTCTATGTCTATCCCTCTCTTTCTGACTCATTTGCTTATGATTTTAAATTCAGAGAGCAGAGGCAAAGTTCTGCAGAAGGACATTGAGCCGGAAGTCAAGAGATCTCGCTGCGCTTCCTGGTTGCCTAACTAACTCACTATAAAAAGTTGGGGCCAGAACCTCAACCTCTTAGACTCTCTTTGTTCAAAGACGACGTATGAAACGAAACAGGAGAAAAACTCCAAGCATCCTGCCTGGTTCTGGAATGTCGAATGCTGACATTCAGTGAACCGAGACCTCAAGAAGACACAGAAGTCAGGGAACATCTTTTTGTTAGGCCCAAGTTACTTGCATTTCTGGGAAAAACCTCAAGAATTCAACCAACAGCTTAATTAAGTCTTCACAGATTCTTTTAAAACATATTAAATGAGAGACACACAAGTGAGATACATGGAAATATGAGATGCAAATTTTTTATAGGGGCCACACATGACAGAGTTGGAGAGGTGATAATGATAACGCTTGGTCAGCAGTGTGGGTCCCTGAAGTGCTTGGGGCTACCAGGACCCCAGCAGATAGGGCCTTGGAGAGATGTGGTGCCAGAGATAGAACTTGGGTCTTCCCGCCAGCCAATTATCTGTCACTTTAGCCCTACTCCCAGCCCCTGAGACAAACTGTGAAGATAAAATGTTTGTGTTTGTAAAGAATGACTAAAATCAGACGTTTCCACAAAGACTTGAAGATATGGATGCTCAGAGAAGCATTCTTCAGGAGAGCCAAAACGTGGGGGGGGAATGAAATGTCTACCAAGTGGTAAACAGATAAACAAAAATATGACATGGTCAGAGAGCAGAGCTAATACCCAACTCTACCCTACTGTAGCACTGTCCTCCCGTTGTTCATCGATTTGCTCGAGCAGGCCCAGTAACGTCTCCATTGTGAGACTTGCTGTTGTGACTGTGTTTTGACATATTGAATATGTCACAAGGAGCTTGCCAGGCTTTGCTGTGCAGGCGAGATACTCTCAGTAGCTTGCCGGGCTCTCCAAGAGGGGCAAAAGAATCGAACTCGGGTCGGCCAGGTTGGCCGCGTGCAAGGCAAACGCCCTACCTGCTGTGCTATTGCTCCAGTCCAATACCCAACTATTCAAAACAAACAAACAAAAAAACAACCCAAAATGAAGCACTGGGGCTTGTTCAACTCTGAAACCATTACTCGAAGGGACAGGAATGCCACATGAGGTCTGAGA